CGTCGTGAAGTGACTCGTTGAAACTGTAGATTTGATATGCTGTGCATTTTTAGATATGCATCAAATAAACACTGTTCGGGTAATGCTTCATTGTGGGGCACATATATGTTGTGAAGAATACCCATGCCTTTCAGCTATCTTGTGTGGTCATACACAGTCAAATGCCCTTATAACAAAGTATGCGGGAGGGGCGAAATTTTTTGTAGTACAGGTAAGTTCGTTGTTGTAGTTGAGTGTGAAAAGTATATTACGCAAAAATGAATGTGTGCAATCGCATATTAACATACATCTGCAACATTTGAGGTATACCAAGATACAGCATATTTAAATATAGTATGAGCAAAGTCATAAACGAAATGTTGTACGTTGACCATTGACTTATCAAAAGGGAGAACGGTGGCGGAATCTGCTAGTGCATCGGAGCACGGGGGTGTGGCGCGAAAGCTTGCGCTGCAGAATCCAGGTATCTTGGGCTCAATTACCACTCCTTTTTTTTTGTTTCCTCTAAATAAAATTTGTATTGGCGCACGTTCGTGTACTCATCACTGCATGGCGCAACGGAAGGACACTACCCAAAAGTTTCAACTTTTGAATTTCTGGCTTAAATGAAATTAAATTTACTGTGTATGCTGGCAGTTGTGAGGCAGAATGCAGTGCAAAGTTTCATTTGTGTACCTTAATTGTGAAATAAATTAGTCATTTTTATCTGGAACACACTGACATTGATTAGGAAAACTATTGTTAGAAAACTAACGTAATACCCAACATTTTTCATCACTAGATAAATATGCAGCAGAATACCTAAAAAGTGCAACTATGAAATATTTCCAAAAAGTAATTTATTTTAGGCTAACATCGGGTTGGAACGACAAACCAGATTCAAGAAAAGTCAGACCAGATTCATTGCAAGCAAGACGCTGTTGTGTTCAGTCAGTTCAGTTTCAATCTCACTTTCTTTCCTCCTTCGTTTGTTCCGTCTTTGCTGGCTCTCTCTGGCCGCGTCCACCGAACACCTGCGACTCTGTCGAACGGCACGCGCCAAGAGCGCGCGCTCTGCTTCTTTGCTCTGTTTGTATGTTTGCTTGTTTTCTTCTCTTTTCTCTCTTTTTCTGCTTCGACAATTAAAGCAGTTTTGCAATGTGACTCCGACTTGGCTGGTCGCTTTCTAGGCCACCTCTACAGACGCTATTTGCAAAACCACAGACGGTCACTCAGGCACGTAGCCAGGATTTTGATTCGGGGGGATTGGGGGGGGGAGAGGAGAGGAGGCCCCAGCAAAATGGAAGATTTCGGGGGGGGGGTCCAGGTTTCATGGGCCCCCCCCCGGCTACATGCCTGCACTCACTGTCACTACAACGCACAACGCCAAGGTTTGGGGAGCGTCGTCTGTTCTCAAATACAACATTTGACGTCACAAGTCCTCCTGCTCGTTGTTGCCTATAGAGCGGCATCACATAGTTCAGAGGTCTACGCAAAACCTTCAAAATTCATTTTCTTAAAAGAAAGTTAATATTTTAAATAAATCTTTCGTAGTCATTTCCATCGGTGGATGTTTAATACATAAGGAAAATTTAAAAAAAAAAAAAAAAATGACCTTCATTATTTTGTTGGAGCTCCACTCCCCTTTAAGAATGGCGCTGACCCCCTCGCCCCTGACCGAAACATGCTACTCGGACAATAGAGTCCAGCCGTGCCTGGATTTCCACTAAGTGCAGCACCTCCGGGAAAGCATTGAAACAACTAACTTGCCCCACACTGTACAGGTGCCCAAACTGATATTTGCCTCTATGGGGGCATTCTAGACGTCCTCCAAGCTCATTCCAAGAATTCTTCATTTATTGTATTGGCGGGCGACTTCAACTTGCCCCGCATCGGTTGGGGCAGCATGACGCCATAATTTAGTTGTGATCTTTCCAACTTCCTTATTGACATAGAATTTAGCTACAACCTCGAACGAATTGTTAATAGCGCTACATGTATCACCCCTGTATGTTGGTCACTGCTAGATCTATGTTTCGTTTTGGAGTCAGTGGCACAGCTAGGTGCACTAGCGAGAGTTATGGAAGGTGTTTTGGATCACAGGCTGATGGTCTTTGAATTTTATTGAATTGCTCGCATCCAACTAAGCACTACAGAGATTACAATAAAGCTAATTAAAAACAGTGATGTCCTAGCTTTCGACCATTTCTCCCTCTTACAAAAACAAAATGGCGCCTACCCAGACACACCATGGTCCTTCTTTAGAGAAGTTGTCCTCGCCCCCTTAATAGATTCGTTCCGCTATGCTCCCAGAAAGTAAAAAGTAAAAACTTTCGTATAACTCGTGAAATCTTGCATCTGAGCCGCAATGTTGGCGCCTACATCAGAGTTCTTCAAAAACATGCACTCAAAGATAAATATTTCGCAGTTTCACTTTTTTTAATATGACTTTGCAGAACTCTTACATACAATCCAGATACTGGAAAAAATACCTGACGAGAACGCTGTTCAAATTAAGCGGCTTATAAATAGATTGAAACATAGCTGCACAATAAATAAAATTTGAAATAAGCAGGGCTATAAAATATTCTAATTTATTTATAGCGAGCCGAATCTATAAATGTTGGCACTTGGTGAAGGCACTGCCATAATGTGGTTGATGTGATAAATAAGACTGCAAACCATGTGTCGTTATTTTGTTTAAACGCAAATCTTGCGATGCACCCTTTGCAAACGCTCACCTCAAGGTTTCGCATATTCTTCATGTCCACTGCATGAGGGTGTGTGCTACTTTGTAAAAGGGTCTATTGCAGCTCAGACATAAGTGCATTATCATAGGTGGTACACACAAGAGAACATTGCTTCGCAGTTTTAAGACCTGCTTGGGAATGTCAAGTAAATTCTTTTTCCAGAGATTTTTTTCTACAACAAATTCATAGGTTTTTTTTTATAGATACTTGTAAAAATGTTTTATCGGAAGGTGTTACACAAACAGTAGTTTCCCTGCGAGCTTGGGGATTTCAAAATGCTTAAATATGGGGCAATCAATTTTTCGCTTTTTCTGTAAAATGTGAAATGTGTATTTATTTATTATTTTGTTTATTCATAAATAAATTGTCTTTTTTTGCAGCCATCAAGCTCTAATACTTCAGCTACTGCATATTGCTTCTTCCTAAAAAATGCAGCCAAATGTAAAAATTGCTATTAAAGTGTCCATGAAAAAAGAGTAACATTAGTAAAAAAAGAATTCAGTATTTGTGCCGTGAGAGCTGATTGAAGTATAATCCCACCCAACCCACTTTAAGAACAGAGATTTCCTCAAATCAAGAGCATGAAGTAAAAAGTGAACATATCCTGTTTGTTTTACTTATGACATTTTTTCTGAGCTCTCCTGTGACTAATTCTTTTATTACATTATGCTTTTGATGTCCTTGTCAGTCTGCCATGTTTGGGGTGTTAAAAAAATTGTTAAATGTTTACATCGCACCAGCGACAGTGCCTTCAATTTCTTCTCTTTTCAAACTTGCAGGTCGACTCTGGCAACCATTGCAAGATGCAGGAAATGGCACATCGCTGCTTTGCAGACAGGGTCCTTTTCGCTGACCAACTCGACTTTCGGGAACATGCATTCTCTGTGCAGTGTTCTTGCTTATATTTAGACTGTATACTTTCCGGTGTTTGTTCATGTAAAATATCAGCAGATATTTTTCGACGTTTATTTCGTTCCGAAACACCGGTGCATCTCGGTGAATTGTCTCGTGCAGATGCTTAAACGGTGTTTAGCGACGGAAAAATTGTGAATAGAAACAAACAATCAAGAGAAGAAACAGCTCAACTGTCATTTACACCTCATACGAAACGTTTCTCATACTTTATTATTGTGATATATACTTCGTTTCAGCTTAAGTCGAGACACACTTCGGCCCAAAAAATATAAAAGACACTTCAAACCACCCAACTTGGGTCCACAAAGAAGGAGGCCAACCTTCAACGGGGCAGTCTACAAAAGGGCACAATGGGACTAAATTTTTGGGGACATAAACTAAAGGTCAAAGAAACCAGCACTGATAGAAAAAACACGTCGATCACGAAGAGACCTATGGAGACCTATGCTGACAATCATCCCACACCACCGTTATAAAAAAAAGGATTGTGTCTGACAAATGTCTAATACAACTTGCTCAGTTAAAAAAAAAACAAAAAAAAAAAACATTGTTGCTTGTACAAAAATGTTTAAGAACTGGTATTTTTTGGTTTTAACCGGTTTTTTATTACCGATACGGGTGAACGTTTATTGGTGTTTTACGATTAAAACTGGAAAATATATGGCCTGCTTAAATCATTCCAGCATCATTGAATCAAATAGAGTCTCCCCTATTGCATCAATTGAATCCCAGTTATTTAGATGAGCACAAGCATTCAACCTACTTTATCACGGTCTGAAGTGGTTGTCTTGCACTTTTTGCTCTTGCCTGGTGTTTGAGACTACAAGATGTCAGCATGTGTGGTTTTTTAACCCCATTCTTCCACTAGAAAGAGTGCTTGCATACTCGAATAGTGTGTGATTTTACGTTGACTTGAGAGGCATTGGCTCTACAGTGACATTTTGTAGGACATTATTACGACGGACGGAAGTCACTACATGGTACCGCCACAGTACCATAGCATTCACTGCAGCCTTCTATTTCATTGGAGCCCCGAGGCCCAATAATTGGGTTTCCTTATTGTTGCTTACGGCTATTAGGTTGCGAGATCACCTGCTTCAATGAAAGATAATGTGCACATGAAAATTTTCTGTATGATTGGGCTATGCTCATATCTTTTTCATTATCCCAAAGTGTGATATCACTTTAACGTAATAACAGCTTTTCCTGATACTTGAATCATTCTTTTCGGTCAAGTTTGTTTACTTTGTTCTGAAACGAACAGGTGTCAGTACACTTGTTTATCTGTGCTCATTTCTGCTGAACGCCGTGCAGATTTGTCAAACTTGTCTAATGTTGGAATGTTGGCTTTGAACATTTTTTGTCATTGAATCTCTTTGTTTTGTTTCTCCGATCTCTGCATCAGTGAAGGCCGAAGCAGCCTTCCAGGACGATGGGGACAGCGAGAGCGACTCCTCTTCCAGAAGCGAACCGGTTGAGTGGCAACCCACGACGCGGCCACGACGTGGGGGCATGTACCACTGCGAGTTCTGCCCTTACTCCAGTCGCATTCTTTCTCATGTCACCAAGCACGAAAGGACACACACAGGAGAGAAGCCTTTCCGCTGCTCTGTCTGCGAGAGAGTGTTTGCTACAATCAGTACTTTACGAAGTCACATAAGGACTCACACGGGTGAGAAACCATTCAGTTGCGAGGTTTGCCAGAAGGCGTTCACCAGGAGTCATGACCTCAAGATTCACAGAAGAGCACATTTTGGCGAAAGCCCATACCAATGTGGCACGTGTGAGAAAGGATTTACGAAAAGAGTTCATTTGTTATGTCATGAGAGGGCCCACAGTGGGGAGCGGCCTTACAAGTGTGATGCCTGTGGGAAAACGTTTGCCCACTTAAGCGTTTTAAGTAGGCATAAAAAAGTGCACAAGTGAGGGATCTGTTGTTCACCTAAGGTGAGAAACAGAGGCATATTCACAGTTCTAAACATTATGAGTTGCGGTTAGGCAACAGCCATAGTTCTGGTATGTAGCATTCTTATTTTGTTTTGAATTGCCTTATTATAGCTGCTTTTATCTTCTTGGTAAATATTAGCTTTAGGTCCTATGGAGCTACGTTCGACGCTTCATTTTGAGTGTATGAGGAAGCTGAGTAGTTTCTCTCTTAGCTCGGAGATTTCAAAAATCTCAAGTATGATGTAGTTAATTTCCAACTTTATCTGTGAAAAGTGAAATTTATGTTTATTTCTTGTTTCGTTCACACTGATGTATCACTTTCATGCAGTTGTCGAACTCTTATTCTTTTACAACTGTACTTTTCCTCTTGCTACAAAAAAAAAATGCAAAAGCTGCAATTAAAGTGTACATAAAAAAGAATTTACTATTTGTACTGTGAGAGCCGATTGAAGTTTAACCCCGCCACAACCTTTTTAAAGAAGCTGTGCAACAATGTCAGTGCTTTGCTTAAATAATTTTGGGGTTGGTGTCTCGACCTTTCTGAAGTAAGGAACAAAAAACCGCTTTTGCCTGCATGTCCTAGTTTTTATTTTAAAAATGGACAAAGATTACGGTTTTCGGCACCTCTCAACTTTTTCATTATCTTCCGAGTCACGTGCGCTGTGACGTCAATGGGGGTCGTGCTTCGTTCCTGTGAAGCTCTCTCTCTAGACCCATCAGTGAGCAGTGAGAACTCATCCGCTCGTGACCGCATGACCACGTGATGGTGCAGCGCAAAAACTATGGTGGGAGGAGAAAAGTTTCATCCGGGTCCGGCCATCCTTGTCCGGCTCTGCCCTCAGAGCAAGAACTCTGTCTGCTCCCGTCCCCCTCCGGCTTCTGGCGGCTGTTCGCGGTAACAGATAGAGCCGACGGTTTTGTGGACCTAGGATAGATGGCGCCACTAAAACTCCGTATGATAAAAGTTTTGTCGATGATATCAGGTTTTTGACGCATTTATATTTATGTTGGAACGATTATCGAGTAGGTATGTCTACAACTTCCTATCTTTTACAAGTCCCCCATTAACGTCATGCTGCATGGTTCTCATGGCCACCGCTCGCGGCTGCAGGTCGGGGAATATTCTAATTTTTGCCTCGCGATTACGTGGAGGAATCGCAACATTTAAGGAAGGAGATGTGTTTTCTGACCTTTGTGACAAGATAAACAATGTCAAAAGTAGAAGATGCCAATTCTTTCAACGTTAAAATCATTGCACAGCTCCTTTTAGAATTATGATTTGCTTAAATCTAGAGCCTGAAGTAAATGGCGAACTTGATTGTCCGATACAGAGTCTGGCCATATCAGTATTGGGTCTTCTCATTTACTTGTGACTTTGTTTTCTCTTGGTGCTTGTCTCACCAATGTTTTTCGCTACAATATGCCTTTGGTGTTTGTGTCAGTCTGTCATGTTTGGGACGTTAAAAAGCAGTCAAATGCTTACATCAGACGAGCGAAAGTACCTTAACGATGTATTCTCTTCTCAGCCCCCTCGAGGGGTGCCTACATAAACATAAAAAATAGCACAAAAAAAGACAAGGACAAGAAGTAAACGGGACGAGTGCCTAACATCTTTGTGAGTGGAGTCACCACGAACCCTAAGCCATGTGGGTTCACCTACCCGTGCCTGGCTGTATGTGGCTTAACCCGTGTCCAGGGGAAAGAGGATCCTGGTGGTTGAGCTGAGCCCGGGATTTTTTTGGGCCTTTTAGGGCCCATAGAGACATAGAAATCCTGACATGGTTTTACAACACACCGAATAACAGAAATTTGGCTTCGGAAAAAAGTTACCTTTTTTTGTGATTATGTTTTCGAAACGTTGATTGCGAGCAACATTGGGCACTTGCAGAATTATTTTACGTCTAATGACTGAAAGCAGTTACGTTCCGAGAGCAGACACAGGTACACTTCGCATTTTGCACAGTAGAGACACTTGCAACTGGATTTGCAATATTTGCACCTGTTTTTCTTCCAGTTTCTAGGTCACTGGTGCATGCCGTCATACCTCACATTTACTGTCAGGTTTGGCTTTAAAGGACAAGTGATCTGTTTTGAAAATGCAATTAAACTCTTCACTGCTAAGCGTAGGTATCCTCGCTCTTAAGACAGAGGGCACTAACTTTCATTTCTCCCACATGGCATAGAAGAAATTAAATCATTCTTGATTTGTTGCTCCTCAGCAATACTGGGCATGAAACGGTTAGCTCATGCCTGGGGAAAAGAGGATCCTGGTGGGCATAGCCCGGGATTTGTTTGGAGCCTTTGGGGCTTCCTGGGCAAGTAGATATAACACTTTGGCTTTTGCTTCTCGTAGACTGGTTTCCTGGCATGCTCCGACCAGGATGATTTATTCAGTCGCCTCTTCTACCCTCTTCTTTCAGTTTTCCTTCCACCTTTTTCTCTTTTATTCCACACTCTCTTCCCTTTTCACCTTTTTAGGTGGCAAGGGCCAACCTTGTATGGAAACAGGCCCTGTCCCTGCAACCACACTCTGGTATCTTGCCCAGGCAGCACTGGTAGAATATTTGCATCAGCCAAGCCTTGCTATGGCACAGTACCTACCCCCTTGTTGGGCTCTGGGGTGGGTGGTGCAACAGAGCACTGAATCTCCTTCCAATGTATTATGGGTTCTAAACAAAGAAGCTTTCCTTGATCAGCCTCCGAAAAGGGGCCTCACCGAACCACTATTCTTAAAGAACAACTTGCATATAAGAAGTAATAACTAATAGAAGCCTACAAACTGGGCATGATATAAGATTTTGCTGGGTACTTAGCCATGTTGGGCAGTGAGAAAGCAGACTCCCTCACAGCTGCTTCCATGAATATTGTTGAAATGTAGGCGTAGAATTCGGAAGGAGGGGCATCGGGGCTTGTGCCCCCCCTGGTTCGATCTGGGGGGGGTGGGGCAGAGGGGCCCGGGCCAAGGTCCTTACCGAGACGCTGTTTACGTGCCATCTAACGAGCTTCTAACAGTGGTATGTAAACAAAATAACGTACACGTTGCCTTTATTGACAAGATACATGGGAAATGGAATCCCAGCGTGCTTTCGTTGGCTTCAATCTCCAGTTCTGGCGAAAAGGTAACGCACAGCACCCCCCTCCCTCCCCCCCCACCCTCAGGGAAAATGAAAAGTCTACGCCGCTGGATGCACTTGTCATGGTCAGGACCTCGACCCTAGTTTTCAAGGCAGCCATTTCTTTTTCTTTTTTTTTTAAAGGGCACTTAGAGTGGGAGTAGGCGCATAGTAATATGCTGCATACCATCAGGCCTGCCTTAGGGATGTGGGAGAGTTATTTTTTTTTATAAAACCAGGTCTCATGAGGTCTCACTCTGTCGTTTGAGGCTGGGTCATTCTTATGCCACCCATGGATGGTGCATGGGGTAGATCAGCCACTGTGCAAACACTGCGATGAGGCCTTGACGGTTTGGCATGTTCTCAATCTCTGCTATGGTCTTGCTCAGCAAAGGCGCTCTTCTTTCCCAGAATTATTGAGGTACAATATTCCATTTCACCCTGCACTTATGCTTAGCAAGCAGCCGTTAATTCCTTTCGAACGTTTGGTCACATTTCTTGAGAAAACGGGTCTTTTGCATATGTTTTAACTTCTTCACCACACCACTTCTTATTGTACAAGTACTCTGCAGCAAAATACATCTTCCTTAGCATTTTATCTTCGACCTGGTCAATTGGCTGTTACATTTTATAGCGATCTCCACTTTTGTGCTACATCCCAATAGTTGAGTTTCGCGCAGAATGGCCACATTGCTGTTGCACCATAAAGCCCCTAATCAGTCGATCGACAAGGAATAATTTTGAGACAGACGTTGAAGCATGATGCTTTTATTTTCATAAAGTGCAAGAATGCAAAAAAAGATGTTTACAATTCTTTGTAATGCCGAATTAGAGCACATATCTTAAAGAGGGGAGGGTACGGAATGGGAGGGTATGCCCCCCCCCCCCCTCCCCTCCGCTCCTGCTCCCCTCCCAATTAGCAAAACATTTTCGAAAAATTTCCCGCTAGCGAAAATTTCCCTGCTAGATTAAGTGGGGTAATTTTACCGCTAAATTTAGAGGTAACATTTCCCCACTAAACTTAGTGGGGAAATGTTCCCGCTAAATGTAGCGTTTCCGTGACGTCATGGCCAACGCGCGAGGAGGGTCTTGCCTTCCTGTACATATTTGCTTTATCTTTCGACTTTGACTTAGCATTGTGGAAGCCACAAGAGGGAGATTAGAGTTTTCCCCCTCCGATGGAAACAAATATGACTTTCGGGGATTAGGTTCCCCCTCCGATGGATACAAAGGCTGCTTTCAGGGGCTCGGTTCTTCCTCCGGTAAATACAAAGGTCGCTTTCTTAAAAAGTGGGATCGGAGACAAGTTGGCATCACTGTGTAGCATATATCTATCCATTGAAGCGGAACAAGGGGTGTTTCCAGTGAACTCTTCTTTCGACTGCGGAGGGAATTGAAACGGGCGCATCACGCTTGTGGGAGGAGCTTCTCTATCATGCGAAGAGTCACTCCATGGCTGGTAGGCATGGATGAAGTAAGGAAGGATTGTCAATGAGTGCACTAGAAATGATCAAAATGAGACTGTCTTGACATTCTTCACGATGATCACCATCCGTTGGAGTGTGTTTCTGGATGTCAACAGCCCGTGGGGGATAAAATCAGAAAGTTTGTCACTTGCGCCCTGGCTTTTGTTTAACCTAGTCCACGGAGCGAACAAAACAAAAATACATACATGTTAGTCATTGTTTACTCCAGTGTCAATTCCATGGGGCACTCATTAGCTGGGCTTGGGATAGGCTTGGACAGTGCGCAATCTCCGAATTTTTAGCTCGATATGTCTGGTTCGGAGGTGCATTGCACGACACATTTTGCAGAAAGACAGCATCGGTACTTATTTGGCGATTCACTTGTACTGGTTTATGTAAAATGGAAAATTTGTGCTGTCCGAGTTTATTCACTATAGTACTACGCGTAAAAACCATTCAAATTCCATTCTTGAAAAAAAAAAGTGATTGCGTTGCTGCGGTAAGTTTTGAGGTTTGCACCTTTCTAGTGCCATGATTACAACTGTGGACTGCAACGACTATATCAAATACGATATTTGACTATACTGTGTCTCACCGGAGTGCGAATGAAGCAAAAATTACAAACGTGAGGATGCGAACAGCGCTCGCACTGCGTGAACACATGCATGGCAGCTATGATCAAAGCTCGGGATTCGGCCATCTTTGGTCGCATTTCAAAGTGTATGGAAACGAAATGTTTGCACTTTTTTTTTTTTATATGTGGTCTATGTTGTGCCGGCTGCCCAGAAACACTAGCGTACCGTAAAATACCAGGCAAGCGTGTACTGAAGATTTAAAAATA